TTTAATTAGCCACTTTGTTTTGGAGACAAGTTTCAAAAAACTTTATGGCCACATGAGCATAAAGGTTTATAAAACAGTCTTGGTAGTAAAACAATTTTGATAACAAGGATGTTTATGTCTTTACAGTGGCAGGAAAACCCATATATAACTGAGCCGAGTGAAATTTAATTTCCTGTGCTCTTTGCTTTAGTGGAGTCATCAGTGAACCCAAGGTCTTTGTTTACTTTACTTTGCTAGGTTGGAATTATGTTTAATGATCCATACAAATTAAAAGCTTTTACAGCAGGATGAATCTCCAGGGAATTATCCTGGATAAAAGCAGTCAATCCCAAAGGTTACATATTATATTTTATTTACCTAACATTATTTGTAATGACAAAATTATAAAATTAGAGGACAATCTAGATTAGTGGTTGCAGGGGTCAGAGAAAGAGGGAAGGAAGCAGGAGGGATTTTGTGGTGATGGAAGTGTTTGTATCTCTACCTTATCAGTGTCAATATCTGATTGTGATAGTGTACTCTAGTTTTACAAGATGTTACTGCTTTGGAAAAGTGAGTAAATGCTATGAGAGATCTTTCTGTATTGTATATTTCAGTCACATGGGATCTACAACTATCTTAAAATTTTTAATTACGAAAATGTTTTATAATATAGCATCTGAAGCAACAGAGTACCTTTAGGTGAAACTATTTGCTTTATGGTTTTTCTTTTATGAAAGATGATTAGTTATTATTCTCTTAAATGAAAACTACTGGTTTGTTTGTCTTTAAAATATATATATATGTTTTTAATTTAAATTCTTTATTGTTGAAAGTATTTATGTATCATTCCCCCCACCCTCCCCATTGACCTCTCCCTGGCTGCTCCCACCCCCCCAGCACATGCCATTGCCCCCTGGTGTCTGTGTCCATTGGTTATGCTTATCTTTATCCATACAAGTCCTTTGGTTGATCATTACCTGCCTCCTCCCACCCCCAACTCCCACCTTTCCATCTGAGGTTTGATGCTCTGTTTGATGCTTCTATGTCTCTGGATCTACTTTTGTTCATCAGTTAAAATATATTTTTATTGGTTTCAGAGAGGAAAGGAGAGGGAGAGAGAAATAGAAACATCAGTGATGAGAGAGAATCATTGATCAGCTGCCTCCTGCATGGCCCACACTAGGGATCGAGCTCACAACCTGGGCAAGTGCCCTGACTAGGAATCAAACCATGACCTCTTAGTTCATAAGTTGATGCTCAACCACCGAGCCACGCCAGCCAGGCAAAACTACTGTTTTTGATTTAAAAAATTTCTTATTCTGTTTTCATAGCAGGAATTAGATGACATTCCTTTTTGATCTATTTTCCTCCAGGGAAATAGGTCAGCCTTCTCTGCCCTTCCGTGTTCCCAAGTCCTCGAGTTTCCTAGTCCCCACGTCCCTGTGATCCAGTGCAGTAAACAATGATTGCTGCACACTCCTCTAGGCTCCTCAGCTTTACAGTGCTTGTGCTCCTTTCTCTTTCAGCCAGCCTTCCCATGGTTTTGGGTGATAGACATCCTGTATATTAGTTTTAGTTTTGAAATTATTGTGTGGAGGCAGACCAGTTGTTTACCTTCATCGCCATCTTGGTTTCCTCCCAGATTACCTTTATTCATTATTTTAACTTATAATTACATTTATATACAAAACACTTTCAATATAGTAATTGTTGGTAGAAGTAATGGTAAAAGATTAGTTTTCTGTTTACTTATTTTTAACATTTTATTTCATTTATTTAGGTGACATTTGTCAATAAATTATATATTTTATTGACAAATGTCAGGGGTACAATTCTATAATATATCATCTGTATATTGTATTGTGAGTTCACCACCACAATCATTAATTACATGCTATACCTAAATGAATAATAAACATTATAGTTTAGTCACTGGTGCTTGATAGCCTCAGTGATTATTATCCCTGGTTCATAATTAATTGTGCAAATAGGATAGCTTCAAGAGGCCATTTCTAAAACACTCATCATGGAATTGAATATTTGAGGTTTTGTGTCACTGTAATCCTGACCTCAATTTCTTATCCATCTCAGATAGTATTTGTGTCCAATGTGAGCACCTACTCGTTAGGTACAAGTTGCTAAACAATTCTTATATAAACTAAAAATATACATCAGGTTTATGATTAAGTTACAAATTGTAGGTGAAGACCTTAATGACAAGGCATCAGTTCCCACAGACAATGAATATTCAGGAACTTAACAGAATTAAAGCCCACATATTTTTAAAGGTACTTTCAGTAAATAGTTGGAATATAATAAAGGTTTTTTTTTCCTAACTGAAAAATAAAGTCCAGTTTCAGCTAATTTACCTGAGGTGTATGGTGTAGGCTTCCAAAATCAGTTGAAAGAATGAGCTATTTTTGCATATAAAGGCAGCTTATACTTAACATCAGTTTATTTTATTTGGCACTTCCTTCTATAATAGAGAGTAATGGTGTTAGAGGAGGGGTTTAAGGTACAGCTTAATACTTCTTTTAAATTTGCTCATGACAATTCCCCTTGCTAGCTGAGCTACTCACCTATATGTTTCTGGACTTACCAAGGCCACAGTTGCTCCCGTCCAATTGGTTGTTTATGATCCTAAGTAACTATGGTGGTGAGAATTTTAAGGTCTGTATTCATGCATCAGAGGACTTCCTCTTAAAGCTTTGAGAAAGTAAAAAAAACACAGTTTTATGAGTCATCCCCAAGTTTTTGCCATGCAACCGCCTCCCCCCCCCCCCCACACACACACCCTCATCATCAATACAAAGCAAAGCCAAAAACAATCTCCTATTAGGAGATCGTTACTTTTTTTTTTTTTTTTTTTTTTTTTTACAGAGAGGAAGGGAAAGAGATAGAAAGCTAGAAACATCAATGAGAAACATCGACCAGCTGCCTCCTGCACACCCCCTAACGGGGATGTGCCCGCAACCAATGTACATGAATCAAACCTGGGACCTTTCAGTCCGCAGAGGGACGCTCTATCCACTGAGCCAAACCGGTTTCAGCGTGATCATTATTATTAGTTACTACTTCCAGGATCTCACTGGGGAAGAAAAAGCGCCTTCTCTTTAGTTACTGCACAAGGGGCAGAAGAAGGCTTTTGAATTCAAGTGTGTGTGTGGGGTGGGGGGGAGTGGGAGAGGGAAGGGTACCTTGGTGAGGTTCCTAAAATCCCACCAGACATCTTTCTTCTAAGTCCAGTTTTGCCTGGATGCCTGGAAAACTGTCCCCTTTCTGCCTCTTCTTTAAGAACCAACCTGTGGAATCGCTTCTGGAGTTAGGGAAGGGCTCGCCCCCTTTCAGGTGTCACTCTGAGGGAGATGGATCTGGAGACAGGACGGACCTTGCCGTGGGCGCCTCCAGCTCTCCGGGAGCCCCCGCCCTGTCCAGACCCCGCAAGTCGGAGGGAATGACCCCGAGTCCCATGTAAGCCATCCTTCTTGCCTGCCCCACACACATCTGAGCCACCATTCTTGCATGCCCCACGCAGGCTGCAGCTGACAACTCAGAGAACACAGCTGACAATAACAACTCTGAGCACCTGCTGTCACTTCAGCTCTGCTCCTCAGAGAGGAGGCAGCCCTGGCGCCAGGGCCGCGCCCCGATACAGCAGGTCAAAGGCCTGCTGGAAGGGAAGGGATGAGCTTACCTGTTGGACGGTGCCTGCTTCTCTGGCGATTCGAATCCTCTGCCCACTGAGCCCCATTCCCGAGCCCCCCTGGCCTCGCCCACTCTTGCTGACTCTGATTTCGAGTTGATGTAGAGAGGAGCGCGCCTTACCTTTTGGGATTGGTAGTTTTACTAGGGCACCATCGGCGGGGCCAGGCAGGAGAAAGACGGCGCTGCGGACTACAAGGTCCGGCGTCCTCCTGGCCAGGTGTACGGTGGGAGGGGGAAGAGGACTCACCCGCTTTAAAACCGCGTGTGTCCAGGCGAGGCGGGATTCTCAATTGCGCGGGAATCCTGGATTACGTCATTGGTCTGACCAGAGAGACAGTGCTAGGAAGGAGATGCCAGCGCCCCAGAGCCCCAGCTGCGGGAGAATTGGACTTTGCCCTGGCCAATTCCAGCTCCCACCCCGCCCTGTGTTTTTCCGGGGCGGTCCAGGCTCCGCGCTGTTCCTGGAAGGCGGAAAGGGCTGCGGGGACCGTGTCCTTGGGGAGGGGCCTGGTCCTCGCTGCCATGTCCGGGGGCTTTGAGCTGCAGCCGCGGGACGGCGGCCCCCGGGTGGCCCTGGCGCCCGGGGAGACGGTGATCGGCCGCGGGCCGCTGCTGGGAGTAAGTGTGGCGAGGGCGCGGCCTGACCCAGAGCCCCGCCGCGAACCTTCTGGCTTGTGAGGCCTTTCCCGGCCCTGATCCATGCCGGCCGGCCACGTCTGGATTTTAAAAGTTCGGGGGCAGCACGTTTCTCACTCAACCTGAATCAACTCAAACACGTTTCCCTTTTGTTGCCTTTAAAAAGCACGGACTTGTGTTCTCATCATGATAATCTCATCCGGTGGTAGGCAAACTGTGGCCCTGGGACCAAGTCCAGCCTGTTTTGGAATGGGCCTGTGTTCTAAGAATGGTCCTTAAGTTTTAACGTGGAAAATGTAAACAATCTGGATCTGTTAGCCTTTCGGAGAATAATTGCAACAAGGACTCTGGCTATTGCCTCTTGGCTTGACAAACCACAATATTTGCACTGGTATCTGGCTCTTTAAGGAAAATAAAAAAGTTTGCCAAGTCCTGAATTTATCTTTTAAGTTGTTGGCCTGTTTTGTGTGAGTGATGGCAACACTTTTATCGTGATAGTCTTTCAGTAGCTAACCCTTATGGGGTGTGTAGTGGTCCAGGCATACCAAGTTCTTTAATCCTTTAAAACCCATTATCCTTATTATCCTTATTGTTCAGATGAGAAGATTGATTTGTAGATCGGTTATTTAAAGGTCACAGGTAAGGTTTTGGACACAAAGTGGCACTAAGCTGTTTAATCGCCACCCTCTTTGGGATGTTGAAGAATTAGAAAAGTGGTTTGTTGCATTCTGAAACTTTGTAGCTCTCCTTCTTAATATGCGCTAGTACACGCATATTTTCTTAAGAGTCAACACTTCTGTTTTAGTGCCCACTTTGTGCAACACATTTTGCAGACTAGGGCTGTGGGGCATACACATATGAGACATGTGTTGATGCTGTCCAGTATTTTCTTGGACGGTGGAGACAAACCTGTGTCAGTGAGCTAATGCCAGGGAGTAATGAGTATGGACTGTTATCCTGGTTAACCCCCAGTGTCTAAATAGAGCTTTTGGTATTATCCTCAGAACCTTCCTCCAAGCAGGAAAAGTTGTGAGTAGGAAGTCAGTCCTAAAGGTGTGTGTGTGTGTGTGTGTGTGTGTGTGTGCATGTATGTGCATGTATGTAGTAAGGCTAAGTAAGAAAGTTGAAATTCACCTGTTGTTTATTTTATTTTTTTTAACCTGGCAAGTAATCACTTAAATGTTTAAATAACATTGATACTTTTTGCCACAATTCATTAAGGTGTACAAACATTTGAAGGAACTAACTGCCAGGGAGGTTTGTCCTCTACCTCCCCTTTTCTCTTCTCTTCCTTCTTTCCTATATCTATCACTCCCTCTATTCTTTTCTTTCTCCCTCTTCCCCTCTCTCTCTCTTTATATCTAAGTTAGGAACTTAGCAGAGTATGTGCTTCATCTAGATCTTTTGACTCTTGACTAATGAGTTTTGATTTGCTTAACAAATTATATCCCCAACACTAAGTTCTTTGGATCTAGTTAAAAGATGGATGAATTTTAGGGATATATTTTATAAATAAGTAAGTTGCACCCTTTCTTCATTTGTAGTTTGATCATTTGTATTATAGGTTTGTTATTGTGATATGAGCCTATTTGGCTTCTGTTTTTGAAAATGGTAAGGAGTAGAAAGTCATTTATCTGGTCTGGATTTTGCTTTTCCTTTTCAAAGCAAAATCCAGGGATGAGATTTTATTGCCAAATTTGACAGGCATTAGAAGTGCTTATGAACAATATTCTACATGCATTGAAGGGAAAGCGTGAAGAACTAATTGATAGATTAAATAGAGAAGGTAGACTGGAGACCGGGATGGCAGGACACAGGCTTTATTGGAGGGAAGGGTACCCCTGCTGGCTGCTTCTATGGAGAGGAGGGGAAGAGAGTGAGCCAGGGGCTTACAAGCACCTTTTAGGACAGAGGGCGGGGCTTAGGGCACTCAGCACATGCTGATTGATTAGGGACCTAGGGACTTAGGAATGGGGGCTTAGGGTATTTGGCAGGTGATTGGTGGTTCAGAGCTTAGGAATGTCTGGCTGCAGGTGGGGTTTACATCTGTCCATCAACTGAAGGAAGGGAGGATATATCACTAGTAAGTCATCTGTGGTTTTTAAAATTTTGGAGCTGACTGACACATGTATTTCTTCTCTGTAGAGGTTAAAACTCAACATGAGGGTTGCTTTTTCAAATAGTAGTCATCCCAATAAGATGGGGTTTGTTTTTGCCCTTTTTTTTTTTTTTTGGTGGTGGTGGTGGGGGTAGTATGAGAGAGTAAATCTTTGTTTTAACTCGAAAAAATCAGGGTGTTGATTGGAAATTCACATCTATTTGAAATGATCTATAATAATAAAAGTGTAATATAGTAATTAGGCCAGACAGCCAGCGCCCTTGCAGATGTCATTCTGTAAGGGGCGATCAGGCAGGCAGTCAAGTGGTTAGGGGTCTGCATTCCTGGGTTGCGAGAGGGATGTCTGACTGCCCCTGGGGATCAGGCCTAAACAGGCAGTCAGACATCCCCCAAGGGGTCCAGGATTGCAAGAGGGTGCAGGCCAGGCTGAGGGACCTTCTCCTCCCGCACGAATTTCATGCACTGGGCTCCTAGTATTGGATAATTGGATAAGTGCTGACTAGACTTGTGGGATAATCATTACAACAATGATCCCATTTAACTTTTTACAGACATTACTTTTATAGCATTTATTAGTTGTTTTTTTTAAGTCTTTGTTTTGTGAAGCAGTTTTAGGCAGAATTGAGTTGAAAGTACAGAGTCCCATCTACCTCTGCTCCCCCTCAGCCCTACTTCTCAGCCTCCCCCCCATCAACATCCTGTACCACAGTGGTATGTTCTATGAACTTATATTGTCATGTCATTATTGCCCAAAGGCCATAGTTTACAGTAGGGTTCAGTCTTTATGTACATTCTACGTGTAAAGACATGTATCCACCATTGTAGTACCACCCAGAATAGCTTTTCTGTCTGGAAAATCCTCTGAACTCTGTCTATTCATCCTTCCTTTCCCTCCCAGTCCCTGGCAACTACTGAACTTTTCACTGTCTCTATAGTCCTACCTTTTGCAGAATATCATATCATTGGAACCATGCAGTATGCATATGTAGACTTTTCAGATTGGCTTCTTTACTTAGTAATATGTACTTAAGGTTCCATAGTTTTTCATGGCTTTTTAATGGTGAGTCATATTCCACTGTCTGGATTTTCTACAGTTTATCCATTTACCTACTGAAGGACATCTTGGTTACGTCCAAGTTTGACAGTTATGACTAAGGCTGTTTTAAACATTTATGCACAGGACTATATAGTCAGAATGTATTTAGTTTTTCTTTTTTTTTTAAATATATTTTTATTGATTTTTTACAGAGAGGAAGGGAGAGATAGAGAGAGCTAGAAACGTCGATGAGAGAAACACCGACCAGCTGCCTCTTGCAAACCCCCCACCGGGGATGTGCCCGCAACCAACGTACATGCCCCTGACCGGAATCGAACCTGAGACCTTCCAGTCCACAGACCGACGCTCTACCACTGAGCCAAACCGGTTTCAGCTGTATTTAGTTTTGTAAGAAGCTGCCAACTGTCTTCCAAAGTGGCTGTACCGTTTTGCATTTTACCAGCAATGAATGAGAGTTCCCATCCCAAATCTTCATCAGAGTTTGGTATTGTCAGTGTTTTGGCTTTGAGCCTTCTTAGGTGTGTAGTGAATTACTTTTCTTATGTATATAAAAATTATCATCTGCCACTTTTTTCATATGTCTTCATACTTCTGTACGAGCTCCTTTCTCAGTAGGTAGTATCTGGATATCTGTGTTTTTTAAAAAGCTTTGAAGATGATACTGTTATGGAACCAGCGTTCAACACCACTTCTAGACACACTATGAGGGATGGTTGGCACCTATTCTGTTGAACTGAACTAAAGGTCTGCTGAACTGAACTAAATAAGTAACAATTAATAAACTTTAATTTACCAAAATCTCAAATGAGGATTTAAATGCAGTTTTGCCCTCCTAAGCTTTGCTGTCCCTGTCATAATATATTGATGATAAAGATGATGTTCTCACACTTGTATAGCATTCACTCTGTAAGCTGCATTGCAAGTCAAACAGGTTAGGTGAGTTGAAATTTCAACAGCAGCAAGTCAGCACAGTTCCATCTTATTGGCTAACAATTCAGCAACCTTAAATTAGGAGATCAGAAAGTTTTGGATTTTACTTTTAAAAATCTACATGATCCACATTTCATCAGTATTGTTGATTAAATAGGTATTTGGGAGATAGTCTAATAACTTTACCATTTACCCTGTTATTCTTATGGAAAAGTATATTCACAAATTTCAAAAAATCACTTCACCTCCAGTATACTAATAACCTGTGTAAGCTTATTTGTAAATTAGAGTCTGCCTAGAGAACTTATGGCCAATATCAGGTATATTTTCTCAAAGTTGTCCTTTTTAAAAAGTATAATATATATATATATATATATATATATGTGTATGTGTATATATATATATATATATATATACACACACACACACATACTTTGCTATTGATATCTGAGAGGAAGGGAGAGGGAGAGATAGAAATATCAGTTATGGGCTACCACCTGCACATCCCCTGCTGGGGATTGTGCCTGCAACTGGCATGTGCCCTGACTGCGAATAAAATCAGGAACTCCTGGTTCTTAGGTGGATCCTCAACCACTGAGCCACACGGATAGGGTCAAAGTTGTCTTTTCTTAATATCAGAAATTGGACTTGGGTAAATTCCAAGTGAAATAATAAACATCTATTAACTTTTGCTCTTATGAGGAATAAGATAAACTAATGTGATGTTATGGTAGAGTCTCAGCATTGGTCATTGAACTTTGGAGTGTATGTTGGACCTGATACTGGGAAGCTCTCTAGATAAGAAAACTTTATGGCTTAAAGACTGCTTTATGTAGCCAGCATGTTCAATTCAGGTCTTAATTTTAGATTTTATTG